GGTGTATCGTTGCAGCCCTAGTCACAGCCAATATGTGTTGTATTGTTTTGAAAATGCTTTGTTTACCGTTGATATCGATGCCTGTTACTACTTCGCCCTTGCACAAATGTACAACGTTCATCATCGAACTCCATCATCATCGAACATTCTAGCTCAATTCGAAGGAGAGTTATTATGTTTCAAAGTCTTGACCAATCAATTTGCTTATCGCTCTGCTTACCCTCATCAGAAAATGCTCATTACTGGGTATCGAATTTAGACAAGGTATTGATGTGATGAAACTATACACCAAGTTTCATCACTCTCAATTAATTAGAACTAAATTTATAGTTTCGGAAAAAAGCATCAACGAATCAAACTGCTTATCTCTGCTTACCGTAAGCCGACAATGCTCATCTTCGAACTCCAAGGCATCAACCTAATAAAAACCTACACCAAATTTGAACATTCTAGCTCAATTAGGAGAGTTATTGTGTCCCAAAGTCTCGACCAATCATATTGCTTATCGCTCTGCTTAACCTTAGCAGAAAATGTTCAATATCGAACTTAGTCAAGGTATTGATGTAATGAAACTATACACCAAGTTTGATCACTTTCACTTAATCAGAACTGAAGTTATTGTGTCCCAAGGCATCAACCAATCAAATTTCTTATCTCTGCTTACCCTAAGCAGAAAATGCTCATCTTCAAACTCATGAAGGCATCTCATGAAGGCATCGACCTAATAAACACCTACACCAAGTTTGAACATTCTAGCTCAATTAGAAGGAGAGTTATTGTGTCCGAAAAAGTGCAAGGGACAGACGGATGGACAGAAAGACAGATGAACCCATTTTAATAGCCCCCTGCTTTCTTCGAAAGGTGGGGGACAATATGGAAACTATTTTAGAAACTGAGCATGTTTATGAAATACTAAACGGTAAACATCTAAAACTTGATCTTTCATCTCTGAATTATGGGCCTAATTCCAAGTCCAACCATCCCTCAACGACTGTATATTGAAAGATTATGACCTATCATCTTTACTATCTTTAAGATAGGTTGCCAGGCAACGAAACATACTTCCAGAGCAGCTAAATCGTCCGAGCGGTCAACAAGGGTTGTCGCATATTTATTCCTTTGTACATGTAGGTAATTGGGGGCCATTACAAGACAGTTCCATAAAGATCAGATTATAATTTTTGTCGTTTGAGGGTTCACAAGGTTTTACAAACTGAAACAAGGGCCTCAACTTTGGAAGTAGTTTACAGAAATTGTTGAAATTTGACAGGCTTTTTCATTTTACTAATTTAAATAATGCACATGAATTTCATACAGATCGGATGATCACTTTTGTCATTCAAACGGTTCACAAAGTAAAACAAGGGCCATAACTCTAGAAATAATTAACAAAAATTGCTGAAATTCAATAGACCTCTGTTTCACAAATTTAAATTTAAATGCATATAAATTTCATAAATATTGGATGATAACTTTCATCAATCGAGAACAAGGTTGAACAAATTGAAACAAGGGCCATAACTATAAAAGTAATTATTGTAAATTGTTGAAATTCAATAGGCTTCGAGGTTTCACTATTTCAAATAATGCATATAAATTTCAGAAAAATCGAAGGTTCAATAAAGTGAAACAAGGGCCATAACTCCAGACGTAATAAACGGAAATTGCAGAAATTTAATAGGTTCTTTGTTTCAGTAATTTAAATAATGCATATAAATTTCAGGAAGATCGGATGATAACTTTGGATGTTTGAGCGTTCAACAAGGTTCAATAAAGTGAAACAAGGGTTATAACTCTAGACGTAATAAACGGGAATTGCTGAAATTCAATAGGCTTCTTTGTTTCACTAATTTAAATAATGCATATAAATTTCAGAATGACCGAATGATAACTTTTGACGTTAGAGTTAGAGCGTTCACAAGGTTCAGTAAAGTGAAACAAGGGCCATAACTCTAGACGTAATAAACGGAAATTGCTGAAATTCAATAGGCTTATTGGTTTGACTAATTTAAATAATGCATATAAATTTTACAAAGATCTTTTTTGGCGTTAAGAGCATTCACAAGGTCCAACAAAGTGATATAAGGGCCATAACTCTAGACGTAATGAAATTAAATAGGATTCTTCATCTCAATGTGAACAACATATATCAATAATAACAGTTGGCGTTGGAGCATTCACAAGAAATTGTGGAGAACGGACCGACCGATGGACAGGGGTGATGGCAATATACGTCCACATTTCAATTTGGGTGTATAATAAAAGGAATACATTTTTTTGTAGAAAACTATTATGTCATAACCTATCACCTTTACTATCTTTATAAAAGGAATACATTTTTGTGTAGAAAACTATCTAGTATGTCATTTTTATAACATTAATACTTGATGCAATGTACGCGTGGAAATAGAACAACTTAGGCTTTTTCTATTTTGCCGTAGCAGTCTGTGTTTGCTTCACCTTTTACCAGGTTTGCTTAGTCTCTATCATCCAGAAAAATATTCTGCAAATATTAGTCTGGATGTGTTGTCAACATTTGAGAATAATAGGTCATTGACTGAAATGAAATGGGGGTCTAACGTCCTACTCCTATACTGGGCTAATGAAGACGGGCATACGCCATACAGTGTGCTATGAGGGAAATTTTGCCCGGGCAGCGGCACTATCGCCTACTCTTATATCGAATTCCAACTGCCAAGGGATCTTTTACGTGAATTCCAATGTTTACACGGGACCTCAGTTTTTTGTCTCATCCGAAGGACTAGACAGCTGTCCTTGTCAGGCCCTCCGTCCTGCATCACTGACAAGGCGAAACCACGTCGGAAAATCGGGATGAACTTTCTCGGCCAATGCAGGGATCGAACACCCGACCTCCAGGCTAGCGAGCCAGCGCCTTACCCACCTACCCATCCTGTCTTTTACATTATTATAAACAACGTCTAAGGGAGGTAACTCGTCCTAAAACAAGATGATGAAGACCATGAAATTAATGTAAGAATTCCATTTCAAATAATCCATTTGATTGCATGCCCATTCAATATCCAACACATTTTTTTTTTTTTTATTGTAAAATTTCTTTATGGGCCATATCTATGTTTTTTCAAATTAATCCTAATTCGTTGTCACGATTCATGTTTGTTTTATCAATGCAAGAATTATGGGATTTATTGTGGGAAGGGGTGCAACTCTTACTTGACTTTGCCAAAGATACTGGATAATCAACCACATTAAAAACTAAACTCTCCGTTACGCATGGGCAATGGACTTTACATCAAATATTGACAACGGTCCCAGACCCTCTGTATGTTGAAGACTTGGAGGCTCTGGGTGACTGAGACTAAGTTTTGCTGTATGCCAAGGTTAATTTTGAGCACTGACTGTATGATCGAGATTATGATTTATTAAATGTGATTAAATATACAATGTAAATCCCTAACTTTGGCTGCACCAGTAGAATGGTTCACAGCTAATGGTGATAGCTTCTGTCTTTGTCAATGTCACATGACACTATAGAGTTGAAAATACAACCATCTATTAAGGCCTCTAAGCGTCGAGTTAGAGCTGGACGATATTGGTAAAATCAAATATCGCGATATTTCCCAAAAAAACGACGATATATCACTATATCGCGATATTTTAGTTTTATTATAAAAAGCTAACGATATATCGCGATATATCACAATATCCCGATATTTTAGTTTTATTATAAAAGATGTGATTATATAAGTGTTAAAAACAGGTCATTCCCCCCCCCCCTGCTGTTTTGATGTGAAAGGAATGCCTTGGTTATGTAAGTGTCTTTCGTTGGTTTTAATTCTCTCTTGAAGTTCGGCATATTCAATTGGGTAATGTATTTTTAATTTAACGTACAAGTTGCTGGTGTTGCCGCCTTTTGCAGCTACACGACGCATGTAAAATCTACATAAAACTTTTGTTTGCGCTTCGTCGTTCTCATCAAAAACAAAGTATAGCCATATACGACTCGTGCAATGTTTTTTAGGCTTTATTGCTACTGTTCGATCAGCTTGAGCTTTGCAATGTTCCGCCATCTCTGGAGTTTGTCTAAATCTCAAATATCTAGCGCAATTTAGTTTTATTTACAAATAACATTTTACTTTTATCTAAATCGGCTTCAGTTTAAAAATTGACCAAAAAAACGCCACCCAAACACACACACAAAACGATAGTTAACTAACAAACGGCATCATACATAAAATGATAATAACTTTTTCCCAACAGTGCCAATGATAAATCGACCGAAGATGGCGAAGAGAAGATATTACGCCATGACTTACTTGGCTGGTTATTCGAGTATTGCACAGCATTAGCAACGGGTTTGACATTATAATGACAAATTCCAACGGCAAGAGGGGAATGCCTATATAAATTAAATAATAATTTTTCAATTATGAATTTATTTATCAAGTTTAATAATCGAGAAAACTACTAGACTAGTCATGTATTTAGTAAGCCTTGTCAATGAACAAGTGACAAGTCATCCGAGTCTTCGATCGTGATGTAATGTCGTAAATTGTTCAATGTCAATCCCATCCCAAATGCAGCACATAATATCATGATTATATCGTGTAAAATACCGGTATATTGATAGAAAAACACACAATACGATATTTCATTATACCGCGATTTTTTAGGTGGTTTATAAAATATCGGAATTCAAATTTTAATATCACGATTTATCGAATTACCGAAAATATCATCCAGCCCTACGTTGAGTATTGTATTATGTCTAAATAGTCACATGCACGGCAACTAATATAAAAAGGGCCAAGGGCCGAGCAAGAGAATAATTTGTTCACAATTTGAATAATATTTAAAATGTATTTCTCGAGTCTTTTTGAACAGATATCGGCTATGCAAGTATCGTCGAAATTGCCGTTTATCGCCAATACCAATTTATACCGATAGGGCACTGATCAACCAATTACCAATTCCATTTATAAGATATATATATTTTTACTAAATTACATGCAAATAATTACCTGACTTTCTTGGAGGTATTTCTGCGAGCTGTAAACCTTCGATCGTCATCATCTTCATCGCTGAAGTCATCCGAGGAAGAATTTGATAATTTACGTCGACGAGAACTGGATGATTTTGAAGGTTTGGCATGTCTCTTTGATGGTCGACCTTTGGTTCTGTGTGTATATAGAGAGAATTAATTGCAACTTTTAAATGAAAAACATAATGTATATTTCCACTATGTAATTAATCATTTCTATAAACACTTCAATATAGTTCTGAGTTTTATTTACAATTATTAAGTAAGCCCAATATAATGCAACAATTTTGGGGCAAAAATCTGGTTTGGGAAGAAAATATCGGACATCCAAGAACTGAAATCCAAGAGAGGTGTGATGACCATGAAATGAATGAAACAAGCCAACAGTGAGGGTGTCGTCACCCGCTGAAATCCCGAAATAAATAGACGACACATTAATTAATCGCACATTTATCTTTTTCAAAAGTATCAAGCAATCAAACTGATTATCTATACTTAGTCTAAGCAGAATATGTTCACAATGGACTTCCTCGCTAGAGATAAAGGGACATAATTTATAGGTGACACCATAGAGGAGGCGGTCCCATGTGACCTCATTGTTTACCTTACAGCATTGTTTTCCTGTACATTCATTACGAACGAGTGTATTGACAAACATTAGTTTTTGTTGTTGAAATGGAATTTAATACTGATATGTCGAAATACGGTTCTCTTACCATTGATATGGTCACGTGTAACCAGAGTTTTTACTAGCGACGTCTGGTGGGAATTCCTCCAGCGAGGACGCACATTGAACTCAGTCAAGGTTTTGAAGTACCTAGTGGTGAAACTCTACACTAAGTTTCATCACTCTCCATAAGTTAGAATCAAAGTTATCTTGTCCCAAAGCATGAGACGAAGAAGCCTATTCCTATTCCTATTATGGCCCTTGATCAATCTAATATCCGATTGACTTTAAATTCATATAGTGTTTCAACTAAATTCAAGTCCCGAGATGAAGGAGCCTATTGGTGTTCAAAGATTTCCGATAATTACTGCTAGAGTTATGGAGCTTGGTCCCTTTGTGAAAAATCTTGTGGACCCTCTAGAGACTAAGAATTCTTAGCCCATCAATTTCCGATTGTTAGAATAGGGCAGAACTAGAAGCCAAATGGGTTGTTACTCGTAATCAGATTTTATTGTGTTGTAAATGTTTTGATTTCTGACAAAAAAAATAAATAAATATGCGATTACCCTTGTCGACGCCCTGGACGACTTAGCTGCTGTGGGCGTACGTTTCGTTGCCTGGCAACCTATCTTTTATACTTTTAACACTTTATCTAAATAACTATTTATTAAATAACTTATATGAACATTTTTTATGGTTATTTCCCCTTCAACTTTCCAGTTGATCAAGAAATCATACTTCTACCCTCTCTATATGAATTTTTTTTATGTTTATTTCCCCTTCAACTTTCCATTTGATTGAGAAATCATAATTCTACCCTCTCTATTTGCTGATTTAAGGACTGGTTTACACAGGTTCAGGAGTGCACAATTTCACTTTTGAACCACTAGCCCATGGGCAGGTGTCATGACAAAATTTGCTAGCCCTACAGAGAAATACACCTGCCCTGAATATAAAAATAAGGTTGTTTTGTTTTTAATTTATCTTAATGACTAAACATAAAAATAATAACAAATATTTAAGCATCCAAATGTTCCAATACTGTCTCAACCTATCCATATTATCATCAATAATGTATTGGATGTTATAATTGTAATAGACAGCAACAACCATAAACGGAGGGATAAAAAGGAAAAAAATATCAGAAAAAGTTTGTATTGTTCTATCGGTCATTTTTATAGCTACGGGTTCAATTTACCCTTGCAAACTCATTTTTTCTCATTCAAGCGTATGTGTCACGTATGACAATATCTTTATTAGATAATGATAGGTTACAATGTGGTTTGTCGTGGATGTACTGAATAATACATATATATTCACGCTGGTATTGCTGAATGTTTCAAGGTCACAAGTATTTGTACATTAATAAATATAGTATATATGTTATTGTTGTTTATTACAGTTTATGACAACTGGTGAACATGTTTTCAGATTGTGGTAATAAAGTTTGATTATAAACAGTTGATTTTATTGTTATTTGTAAGATGTATGATAGTTATTATTTGCCAAGGTTGAGTAATCCACATGTTTGGTTGCAGATATGATTGCATTGAATGCATGTGAACTGCCTGTTTTGTTGTCGTGATTTAATTGGTTGTGAGTGAAACTGTAGTATACGTGGTGGGAGATATGAATTTATATTGTCACTCTAATAATGGATTTTGGGAGAATCACACATATTCATTGATCATATCATTCATGAATCATTCGTAAAGATATTTCAACTAAATGGGTGTTAGACTGTGTGTCTCGTTGGTTTTGACTGTGTGTCGTTATAATGGTAATCTGTGTGATTATGAGCAATAATTAGTACATTTACTTGTAAGTATTGTTTGATTTTTGTAATGTTGATAATCGTGGATGAATAGAAATAATTTGATTATTTGTTAAACATTGTGTTATGTTTTATAGGTGACCTGATTGTGATTGTGATTGTGATAATGTTAATGTGCTACGGATAGTGTTACCTATATTGTTAGTCTGGTCGTTATTGTTCCAGTTAGTTATTTTATGGTAATTAAAAGATATACACGAATGAATAACTCATCAACCTTATCATCTTAATCATCTTTTTAAATGTGCCGTGGAGAGTCAAATGGTTGGTGACTGCTGTGTGCGCGTGTACCATCAAATCGTCATCTCATCAACATATAAACGTGATTAGTGGTCTTTTGAATCGGTGGAGACGGTGATATTATTAGAGAATAATTACATAAATATATATATATATATACATATTATAATTGTATTGACTTATATTGTAGTTATATAAAGATATTTAAATTATACTGTGTTTTGTTAATGTGAACTATAAGTACATGACTGTCAATCCGCCCCAAAAAGAACCAAAGGTCCAATTTTGTGACAGTATGCCGTATAGAAAATCAAATATTACAATACAAGAACACTAAATTAAACTATACAATATGAGTGCTGTCTCAAAAAATGCCCATTAACTAAGTCAAATAGCCTTTTTTCGGATCATGCGATTTACGGACCACTGGCACTATGACACAATGTCATTCAGTCTACCGGTACCTCTCAATATAGTTAGCATTTTTCACATTTCTGCCTACATAAAGTATATTTTAATCAGAAATCAATGATTCCTTTGGAAAATCAAAGTGTGGGTATACATAATTTGTGAAACAGGGATAATTCTGACAGTACCACAGGTCGTGTGGAAAAGTGAATGAGAAGACATGTGATGTAAAAACGCTATATTATTACAGTGTTTGCATGTTTGTGAAATGAACACTTTGGAGTTAATAACAGTATTTATTGCTGTTTATTTATCATTAAACAATAAAAAGCTGTGAATGACAATAAAAGGAAGACATATTTTCACAAAATACATAGAAAAAAAGAATTGCGGTATCTTCGGTAAGGAATGTTGTCATTCGACAATACTCGTTAATTTTAGAAAAATTATTTTTAGTACCAGAAGCTATTACCGGTAGAACTATCGTGTGCTTAGTAAGTTATTCTGACTGAAGTTAGTCTATTCGGCTATTATAATTACTGAACTAAAATGCTTTAAATAATCACAAAGTATTGTTCGATCACAAAGTATTGTTCGATCACAAAGTATTGTTCAATCACAAAGTATTGTTCAATCACAAAGTATTGTTCAATTTCAAAGAATTTCTGTCAGAGAAAATTGGCCTGTCCGCGGGCGGACGGAATGCGAAATTTCAGCTGTCCAACAACAAAATTAACCTGTCCCGGGCGTCAGGAATTGTGCACCGCTGAGGTTTAGGGAAAGCGAAGGCCGGTGATTTGCTTATTGCTAGGGCTGAAACAATTCAAAGGTGAACCGCTATTTTTTTCCATAAAAACGATACTTTTTACAAGAAATTCGCTAACAGGTTTTTTTTTTCCAATTTATGGTTCACGGTAAACTTCACACTGTATCACGATATTTATTCAATAAATTAGGCGGTAGGATCTATAGAAATTACCTATCAGTTCAGTGTAAAGAAAAATCCTGGCAGAATAATATGTCCCTGCCATCTAGACTTCATATCATTGCAAAAACTGACCTACTCTTTTGCAAAATACGACCTAGAAACTCGATAAGAAATATTTTCCATTAGACAAAATACTGGAAGCCATCAATTTTACACCAATTAAAATCGAGTTTGTGATGCCGGTGGCCCTTACAAAATGTGTGTTGAAATATCTGTTTAACTTTTGACAGTATTTTTATGTCCACGTCCAATAATATTATACTGGGTGAAGTTGAGATCGAAAAACTACCTGCATCTTACCGATCAAAAGTGTGGGATCATTTCGGTTTTCCTGTCACCTACGTAAAGTCAACAGGAAAGAAAATAAAGCAATTTCAGTCTGCAAAATATGTCATACCCAATTACAGTATACATATATACTTGCGCAGGGATACACTGTTTTGAACCATTGAATAACCTGAGCGGTATTCAATGGTCATTTGAGTTCTGTTTTTATTCTATAACTAAATGTAAATCTCAAAATACACTGTTCTATCCAGATTATCAAAAACAAAATCACAATAACGTTAGAATTCATCATAGCTATAGGTTCCGCCCTTTTTCTTTCTTTTTTTTTTTTTTTTACAAAATTGTGGTTGCTAGTGTTGACATCATTACAGTTTGACGTAATTCTGAAAGTGACGTCATTCTGGACAAAAGTAGTAAGTGTACAAGCCATTGAATACAATGTATTCAATGCAGGGTTGTAAAAATCCACTAGCCTGACGCCCGGGGCTTCCAAAAATAACTTGCGGGCTAGTGATCTATTTAGCCAAACTAGAATGGTTCCAGTGACCTGTGTGTCGTCAACTTTGACCCTATCGGCACACAGCATGGCACTCGTGTGATAATAAAAACAATTTTACTATCCTGACTATTTTATTATTATATCAGCACATCAATATCAGTTTGTAGTTTTTTGAACCGTTTCACCAGTGCAACCAAACCGTGACCGGTTAACCGAGTAGCCGTATACATCCTTAATTATTAGGCAATCAAGTCTACGATCTTTATCAAAAACGATAGGTTGGCAGCCAACTAAACATATGCCCAAATATTGAAGATTAAATCTTGTACCTTGTCGAACTAGCCCTGGGCTAGTGGATTCAAAAATTTTTTTACACCCCCGATTCAATGATATTTGCTTGTATTTGCATGTAGTTATAGAATAATGGATTGTACTCATGTATGTGTACCCGACTTTTGTCCAACTTGACTGTGTGACTGCATATTTAACTTTGTCAGAGATTGTGTATTTTGATTCAATTTGATAAAAAAAATTGCCAACAATATTGGTTAAATATTAATTTTATTTTATCGATCAATAAACAATATAACTTTAAAACATTATGTATTATTTCTTTATTTCAAACAATATTTGGTCAATTTCACTGTAAAAGCACGTATTGTGATGCAACCGTATCGTTGGGCTAGGACATGATAATGTATCATGGCACAGCGTATCGTTTCATCCCAACTTATCGCTCTGCTTACACTGAGCAGAAAGTGCTCATTATTCAACTTAGTCAAGGTATTGATGTAATGAAACTATACACCAAGTTTCATCCTTCTCACTTAATTAGAACCAAAGTTATCGCGTTCCAATTCATCAATCAATCAAATTGCTTTTTTGCTTATCTCTGCCTCCATCAAGGCATTCACCCAACAAATATCTACACCAAGTCTGAACATTTTAGCTAAATTAGGAGAGTTATTGTGTCCCAAAGAGTGTGATGGATAGACAGATGGATAGACAGATGGATAGACAGATGGACAGACAGACCCATTTTAATAAAAATCAGCGGCTGCCAGACAGGATACGCCTACATTTTGCAAGAGATAGATAGAGAACAAGCTAAAAACAATTTTTTGTACAATCAGTGCCATAATCCAGAAAGTTATGGACTGAAATGTGCAAATATCAAAAGGGATTGAGATTTTTTGAAAGGGATGTTAAATTTCATCAAAATCGGTTAAAATTGTGACCTCTAGAGGGTCCATAACCCTTGTAGTACATACTTATACACAATTTGCGTACAAAGAGCAGCCATTTTGTCAGGCACTTTCATTTCGATTTTCCCGAAATTCCAATTCAACCATCATTATGGTGGAATGGTGATATATCTAAACGGTTTTCAAAATCGGAAAAAAAATTGTGACTTCTAGACACTGTAAACCAGGTATCATTTAATCTTGTGTATATAGCACTAATTTCTTTCACATTCGTTTACTATCCAATCTTTTTTTAAAAATTCGTAAAAACTATTTAAAATCACCATAAATCGTTTAATTTATACTTCTGTCCAGTTTAAAGCTGACCATTCAATTTTGATAATGAGTGTCTAATTTACAGTGTCCACAAGCTAAAAACATGTTTTTTCGTACAATCGGGGGCCATAATCCATGAAGTTATCGTCCGATACATGCCAATATCAAAAGGAACTGAGATTTTTGGGAGATAGACCTACATTTCAAGTTTGGTCAAAATCGGATAAAAATTGTGACCGGTAGAGTGTCCAAAAACAAATTGTGGACGGACAGGGGCGACAACAATACATGTCCACATGAAAATGTGGGCGTATAAAAAGTCCTGAACTGACAAAGAAAAGATGAAAAGGTTTTCTTTTGTACAGTATGAACTATGGTTGATCTGTTACAGTCAATCACACTGTCCAAGAAACTCGCTGGAAATGGTCTCAAATAATTGTCAGACTATGATGTTAGTTGAATGTTTTGAGGAAGTGTAGTGAAAGGGGTTAGTTGATTTATAGTACCTTGTTGTTTTAGTAGATCTACGAGGTGGTTTAAAATCTTCCGATGAACTGCTTTGACTTTCTTCGCTACTGTTTGCCCAATCATCCGACCTACAGAATGATTTGACTAAATTTACTACTGCAGCCCTAGTATTTCTAGGGCAACCCTCAACATTTCAACTTTCACTTTTGATTTATATTGGCCCAAATTTCTATTTTCAGAATTTATCATCAGGGTATTTAAAACAAGAAAATTTTTAAGATTATGATATAGTTGAAAAAAGTAATAAAATTTAATACCCTTTGCGATTTCCTCTCTTTTTTGGCTTCTCATCTTCGCTGTCAGCCTGTAAGATTCAATTTACATTTATTAATCAAACAATCGTGAAATGAAATGAAATGGGGTTTAATGTATTACTGTTCTGCTCCTAAACTGGGCTAATGAAGACGGGCATACGCCATACAGTGTGCTATGAGGGAAATTTTGCCTGGGCAGCGGCACTACGGCCTACTCTTATATCGAATTCCAACCACCAAGGGATCTTTTACGTGCACGCCAATGTGTACAGGGGACCTCAGTTTTTCGTCCCATCCGAATGACTAGACAGCTGTCCTTGTCAGGCCCTCCGTCTTGCATCAAAAAATCGTACTAGAGAAAGTAACAATTTCATCACTCCCTCTCTAGTTGGTTGTAAATTTTAGACAGATTTATTAATTACAAACCTCTGCAGCATTAAATCTATCTACTTCTTTTCTTTGTCGGCCAGAACGTCTTATACCATACAAATCTGGTTGTTGAACCCATTGCTACAAAAATATTTAAATTCTGTTATAATATGGCCGTGTAAAATTGATACATTGTTTCTTCTCCCCATGCTCTGGGTAAAAACAATTTTCAAACTGTTGTAAGCAGTGATGAGATTTCAAAAAATTTCTTGTCAGACATTTTTTCCCGAAAATAAAGGGGCACAACTCTTATCGTAATTTAAGCAGACGTTTTCAAAACACAATTAAGAATCACGTGTCAACAAAATATATTCAAATTCATATGTAAAATAAAATAGGTGCACCTCGTTATATTTCATGTTTAAAACCCGAATGGTATTCAAATTTATGTCAATAAAATTCCTACAAAATTTCATGACATCGTAATACTATAGAATGGCAGCGTGCCGACAGCTGCCGATCTGTTTCGAACTCCCCCCAAATTACCGTATTTTTCGGGTCATACGTCGGTACATTTTTCAGCAAAGTCCGACATTCGTCTGATACTCAGTTTCGATTTATATACGGAAAGTAAAAAAATGACATCACGAAATTTATTTGGCCGTAAACTGTAGTTAACAACGCTCTAATACAACGAGCGAGTGACACCAACTGCTAAATAATTGCATTCGACTGTAGCACGCGCTATCGTCTAAAACAATTAACTACTTACGTCATTCCAATCGAAATATTCGTCAACATTTCTTAGCGTGTTTGTTTATTTATATGATCATAAATCCGACAATATGCCATCAGAATAGAATCTTTTCTTGGATATCAGGCGTATTGCATTCGGCATGTATATATCTCTTAATTTCACATGTCTCGCGAGATTTGTACTTTCATTTTAATTACTGAACTATATAAGCGCCATGTGCGTGTGTGTGAAATATCTTTATTTAACTTTGGCTGCCAGCGAAAATATATGACAGACAAGTTATCGGATACAATGTATGTTGATTTGAGGTTTTATATTTTATCAAGATATGTTACACATATGTGACTAATTTCTACGTGTTATTGTCCGACACAAAGGAGATTAAAACGTGAGACAATGGAGAAATCACAGGTTAATCAGATTAAGTTTATAATCACTCTTATTGGATTGATATATCGTCCATTCAGGATTGATTTGATGAATTGTCCGATAAAGAATTAATTCAGCCAATCAAGGCAGAATAAGTAGTTAATCAAGGTAGGTGTGTAGACGATAAATAGTCGATCACTTAATTACCTAATCAATCCAGCCTATTCTCAACGATAATCGGGTTGCACGGTAGTTATACACTCAGTACACTATATTAATTTTGGAATTTGAATATTATTCACCATGTCTTGATGTCCGATTGGGCATATTCCCGCTCGGACAATATTGGGCGTTTCGAAAAAAGATTTGGACAAGTCCGGAATATACGGGTAAAATCGCATCACTGGTTGTAAGGCCTTTATACAATATGAATTTGGCATGCTGACATTTTTTTAATATCCATATTTTCATTGGATGATATCAAAGATAGGTTGCCAGGCAACGAACCATACACCCACAGCAGCTAAATCCTCTGAGAGGTCGACAAGGTTTGTCGCATATTTATTCCTTTGTAGGTAACTGGGGGCATTTACAAGCCAGTTCCATACAGATCCGATTATGATTTTTGCCATTTGAGGGTAATAATAATAATGTCATTTATATTCACAAGGTTCAATAGGATTCTTCTCTTTACTAATTTAAATGACGCATGTAAATTTCATAGAGATCGGCAGATAACTTTTGATGTTACATGTAGAGCATTCCCATGCTGCAAGAAAGTGAAAGAAGGGCTATAACTCTAGAAGTAATTGACGAAAATTGATGAAATTCAATAGGATTCTTCGTTTCACTAATTTAAATAATGCATATAAATTTCAGAAAGATCGGATGTTAACTTTTGGCGTTAGAGCGTTCAAAAGGTTCAATAAAGTGAAACAAGAGTCATAACTCAAAGAAATGAACAGAAATTATTGATATTAAATAGGCTTCTTCACCTCACTAATGTAATCCACATATCAATTTTAAAACAATCGGATAATAACTTTTGGAGCTAAAGCATTCACAAGATATTGTAGACGACGGACAGACAGACAGGGGCGACGGCAATATAGGTCCACATTTCCATGTGGGCATATAAAAACAGACATCCCTGGCTAATAAAAGGCATTGTTACATTATCTACAGTATACCGAAGCCCCAACTATGTACATCGATGGCTATAGACCTGAATCGGCATAATATGAACTTGTGAACATTCAGAGATCGCTTATTCAATTAAAACTTCATATTTTTTTTAGTATGTATTTTTATCTTGTGTTAAGACGCTGTGTGGGTGATTTTCGTGTCCCAATTCCTAAGCGAACGGGCGAGAAGAAAGAAGGTATCAATTTTTCATGGCCTAATAACTAATAATAATTGATATCACAAAAACGTAGTCAAAATACATAGTTTCTGTTATTTCAAGACAATATTTTGCTCACTGTAAAGTTGTCCATGTAAATTTAAAATAGAAAGCAGTATGGGTTTAAATCCATGACAAAATATTGGATGAACAGCAACCTATCCCGGGTGGCAGGAACCCATCCAATAATAGCTTACATCTTTTAACTCTTTAGTATTTCGTTTCCTAGGTTTCTGTGAAACAACCTCATCATCATCATCGTCATCATCATCTTCTGATTCACTCCTCTGTACCCTAGTGCTGGATTTATTTGACTGATTCGAACTGTTGTGTTTTGAACTTTTCACATCACTGTCTGAATTATTGCTGGAATCTGATCCACTCTTAGAATCGCTGGACTTCGAAGCATCAGAATCTGAGCTGCTGAAATTTTAAAAGAAAGTATACAAGTCTCTCAATGTTAAATACATGTCCTTTTGAAACTACATTTAAGACATCAGTTAATCTTTCAAGTTAATATGTTTAAATTTATTTCTGTAATGTTTACCATAAAAAAATAATAAATAAGCCTAATAGTTTAGTTATGAAAAATAATAATTCTATACTCTACGTTTAACATATAAGTCCATTTTGTAGATAAAATCAGAAATTAGAAAACATTAAGTTACTCTCAGAGGTCCAGACATCAATTTCTATTTCATCATTTTCTCAACATGTTAGTTTATCTATTGCTCATAATAAGTCATGGAAAAATGCAGATTATTCGTATGGAAAGTGGACCTAATTCTACCTAGAATCTGAAGAACTGGAATCAGATGCAGAACTACCACTTTTCTCTACATTACCATCTTTCTGTTCTGGTAATTGATGTTTATAGTTTACATCAGCAGTATAATCAGTAGCAGGAAGTTTTGAAGTCGTCTCAAGGGTTTTATTAGAATTTTCTTTTATTGGCCCAAACAGTGGGGTGGTGAAATCTCCAATATCAGATATTTCAACCTGAAAATATTAATACAAAATATTTTATTACTAATAATAAAGCATCACACTTCAAATTACCAGTTTTGAAATTTTATCACTTTTTAAACAAATGTAGTTTAAACTTGAGTATGTATTAAACAATAAACATTAGACAGATGAATCTTAACAAGTGAACTGGATCTAGGAATCCATCAATATAGGAGCTTTTATCTTTTATTTTGAATATTCCAATTATCATTCTTATTCAAAGATCAAGCATAAACAGCTAGCCAAAGAATAAACACAAACAAGTAACATAAACAACAAATTTGATGAATGGTAAAAAAATAACATATCAATTATTAATAATCAACAGTAACTAATCAATTATCAATAATTAACAGTAACTGAAATAACATGAAATGGGAAAAACAGAAAAATAACATCAATAATAATCATTTTCATCAATACTGAATCAGAGACTTGATTAGCAAACTCTGTAGTAGAATTCAACAGGTTAACAAAATACCACTGAACACAAGAACTTGATTGTAAACCTGCAAGTCTATTTCAAGTTCTACTCCAATATCTAAATCATCAAAACATTGCACTACATCTGACCAATCAAACTGAAATAGCAAACAACCAACAACTTTTCTGTTTTCTAAGTACATGTACAGTATTCAACAATTGTTCAAAGCTGTTTAGTAATGAAAAAATTATAAATGATTTATTTGAAGTGTTTAGTTATGACTTGATAGTTATCTCAGTGAAGCAGGTTTTAAGAATTATTTTTGCAGGGTAGATTGGTAAACTTTACCACTACATATCTTTAGTTATGAGCCAATATGGTTGTTATCGGTATGTGCCAATAACTGATATTTTAGCCCGATGATACCAACTTGAATATTTTGATTTCAGAAACAAACATTTCTGTTGATAGAAAATAAAAATCCATGTGACTCACTGAATCTTATTTGTGTGATGTCACCTTACCCATTAATACAAAATACTTTTAAAATTTATTTAACTCACAAACGATCAATACGTTTAGTCAGAAATTGAATCTTAAACCTGAAGTTCCCATTTAATACAGGCAATTAATCTGAATAATTTTTTAAGGTATTCGCTAAAAAACTGTGGAATTTAATCAGTTTCTTGTCTCAAACAGGAGGAAATATTTAATATTGTTAAGCCACCCAGCATCCTAGCATTGCCGGCGAGACGTTACGAAAAAATACAGAGATCTGTATTATCATACACGGAGGGAGGGGGGGGGGAGTATTCAAGTCCTTTCTCCATTCCTACGACAGCAATTCTTCCAGTACTATGGCTTTATATTAAGGCGCTCCTGTACGGGGCAGTTCCACCAAGGCCTTAATAGTTAATCCCCTCAATTTCTGATTTAGGTTCTCCATGCCTCCTCCTTTGTCACTGTCCTGTTAGACAAGCCCTCCATCACTCCGCCGTTGCTGCTCCAGGAATGCTGATGCCATTCCTCCCGTGAACAGGTAATTATGCGCTAGGAATATGTACGGTAGTTTGGGGCCTTAAAGCGTATAAAGGGGCATAACTCCATTGGACATATCGCAGCCCATTAACTAGTAACCAAGTAACGCCGTATTTACCAAGGCCAATAAAGTTATTTATTCGGTTTAGGCAACTGCGAATATGATTACTGTATGCAATATGTATTAAAATAAGTATTTACAATTCATTGGAAAAACAATATTGAAAGCATAGCGTTCGATGTCCTACGTGGTGGGAGATAGCATTGTCTAGAGCCAAATTCTAAGGAAGACGCATTACGCACACCTGAGCATAATGATAATGGCGCCGCAATTCCTTAAAGCGGCAAATAGTAGAAGCCGTGAAACGCTTGAAAAACATCATGAAATATCGTATAATATTATAAGAATGAAAATGTAACAATCATGTAAAACAATAGGTGCTACTGTTAGAATAGTTTGAAATATAATGTGATTGATCTTAAGAATACTCAAAAGGCTCCAGAGTAGAGATGCTGCTGACCGAAGTCGATTGCCATCACGTCGTCAACAGAGTCTTATATAGGCAACACCAACGTACCAGGTGTCCGGATTGACCAATGGTAGGTTGCCCTTTTTGGGAGCGTCGGAACTAATTACAGCCTAACGACAATAACATTATAATTTAAAACGATAACAGCCTATGCCGACTTGTCCGGTGCATGTCCGATCTGCTTAAATTTAGCAGTAGTTGATTTAAAATATACAGAATAAGAATTAATGAAATAATCATAAAACGGACAAGTATCAACACAAAGCCCCAGCACACATAAGCCTAGTGGCGTCGTGCGTCATTACACAATAAGTGATGGACAAAACGTAGTTCGCACTTTACATTACTAAGTACGGCCAATTATAAGTTAGAAAAACAATATAAATACAATAACAGTAGAAATAAGTTAACAATATTCAACATTTCTGGTTTAAATAGAATATATATATTTGACATTTCAATGACGTTTGTTTGTAAAATCTATCATGGACGACTAGGTTGAGATCGTACGAATTTACAATGACATTTTATGGAATTTCGAGGAGTTTACATGTTCTAGAACATAACGTTTGCTATCGGAAAAATGTAATGATACAAGGACACACATTACACGAAAGTAACATATTTCATGACGACGTTCAAGAAATCAAATAACATAATAATAACACGGCGGATCATCGTAGTTGGATTGTAATTAATACTACTAGTCATGAGAACTACAATAATATCACAATATATTTATTCAGTAAAATATAGAATCTTGAAAATGCACCAAAAAATATGCATGTAATCAAATATTCAAATAGCATTCGAATAACATTAAAAATCTCTTGGCAGTTGGAATTTGATAGGTGAAGTTGCTCTGTGGCGACACACATAGTAAGAGCTCTGGGAGACATGGGTCATTCTTTTAATGAGGGGTCCAATTGAAAATTCATACATATCATTGCTCAAAGCACCAAAAACACCTATTTTCTGATTACTAATTGTTGAAACCAGCGACTGTCAGGTAGAATACGCCCACATTTTGCAAGAGATGGATAGAGAACAAACTAAAAACAGACACGATTTTTTGTACAATCGGGAATAATAATCCTGAAAGTTATGGTCTGAAATGTGCATTGCGCAAATATCAAAAGGGACTGAGAGATGTTTTAAGTTTCATCAAAATCGGATAAAAATTGTGACCTCTAGAGAGTCCATATCTTTTGTATTACATGGTTCTACACAATTAGCGTAGAAAGAGCGGCCATTTTGTCAGGTAGTTTCATTTCGATTATCCCCAATTCAACCATCATTATGGTGGAATGGTGATATATCTAAACGGTTTTTAAAATCAAAAAAGAAATTTTGACCTCTAGAGAAACTACAAGCTAAAGATGCGATTTTTCGAACAATCAGGGGCAATAATCCAGTAAGTTATGTTCGGATATGTGTGATTATCAAAAGGAGAGAGAGAGAGAGAGAGAGAGAGAGAGAGAGAGAGAGAGAGAAATGGGGTTTAACGCCAACTCGACACAAACTAGGTCATTTCGGGACTAACATATGGTTTAATTTTATTTCATTAATTCGCTTGTGCGTAGGGGTCTTCAGCAGTGGGTGGAAACCGGAGGACCCAGGAAAAACCCACGAGGTTGGACAGGCGACCCTACTCCTCGTCACGTACAACTGTGGATTCGAATATTATCAAAAGGAGGGACCGACGGATGCATTATACGACCACATTTCCATGTAGGCGTATAAAAATTTATTAAATGTGAATAAATCATGTATGGACCCCTGATACAGTTGAGTTTTCAATGACCAAGTAACCGACATTAGTTATTGCTGAAATAGAAACGGCATTCCATCTCAATAATTAATAATTCCCTCATGTAGCATATATATTTCACAAACACAGGTCATGAGAAACAGACATGTAATTAACTGCGGCCTTACCTCCCTTCACAAATATCAATAAAAAAATAAAAAAATTAGATGCAATTTTTAGAAATATCTAAATAATTATAAAACAATATTTGAATGGGGTCAACTTGGTGACAGAATGTTACTTCAGCAAATGCATAATAATTAAGTCAAACCACCATCATCAAAGCAAGCCTTACATTAATGAAATCCTTATGATAATTAGTGCTGATATCAAGTATGCTTCACGATTCATCGATTGATTCGGCTGACGACGATTCGATTCTCTGTGCTTTTTTGTATTATCGATGCATCGGCAAAAAATACTAATAATTAGCTTTATGTGTCCGAGGACTCCGAGGAGTTCAGCAACTAGAATAAGTAACACCGTTTCAATTCGTTTTTCTGCGTGTTTTTTATAATTCAAAATAAAACAATATAAGCTAATATGTAACGGAACAAAGTATTAGGCTTGACCTGTTTACCCTACGCTTCCTTTATGTTTGTCTCCATTTTCCAGTGACTACAAAGACTGCGTTTGCTGGTTACGTCCCCTGGCTATCATGTCCTTTAACCCCAAGGTCAATTTCACGGTTCATTTAAATGACCAAAGGAACTATGTCATGAGGATAATATTTCCCGGAGGGTTTTTAATGTTAGTTTTAAAACAATTCAGTCTTATTTTCTGTCACGGGCAATAGAGAATGTACTTCATAAATCCCTATAGACAGGCTTTGATACGTTCGTATAAATAATGCAAACTGTCTCTAGTAATCACCTCACACACTCACCCCTTCACAACAAATTTGAACAATGGCTAACGAGTGTCAATTGAAGTGAATCGGACGATATTAATGTCATAATAAATAACAGAATAGTGTGGAGATAAATTTATTCAAATAATCAACATTTCTATAATAGGCCTAATAATACTGTTAGGGAAATTTATAATTCTATCAGAAATACTAATGTTATTTCTGATTAACAAAATGACGGCAAAAAAATTCCTGATGCATCGATGCGAGAATCGATGTTTGCATCCGATGCATCGATGCATAAAATTTTACTTGATATCGGCACTAATGGCAATATAA